CCCTTCTCAGAGAACCATTTTCCGCGGGTGCCCTAATGTGCTTCTAGTTAGATTTGAAATGATTGGACCACCCATCTGGATACAATCACGAAAGTTGATTGTATCTCGACGGCCCTACCCAGAGCCATCCATATTTTTTTTTTAATTCAAAGCGATGATGAACTGAATCCAAGAAAGGTGGTCGCTAATTCTTTGAATGGCTCAAACGAATAACAACGCTTTTGATGTGGATGGAAAAGAGGAGAATGCACAAGAGACCGATGGGCAGATGTGAAGTGATCAGACAAGTGTGGATGATTGAGACACTCGACTTACCATCTTGTTTATCGTTTCCGTCTTCGACCACACCGCGGGTTCTGATGGAACCAAACCTACCAGGGCCGGATTCAATATTGATTCCCTCACCAAACTTGCATAGTCAATTTGGAAAGCAATTTGTTGTGCTTGCACTTGCGTGGGTGATGGTGGCACCAGAGGTAGACTATTATCACCATGGAAGTCAGGATAGAGCATGGCGTCGCTCACATTCCATGTTAGGTAGACAGCGAAGTTGTCCAGAGCCATTTCCACCACTGGCTTCATTTCTTTTGTCGTCTCAAGGACTGCAACACAGAGATGAGGAACAGCGATTAGGCATCCGGTTTTGGTGGTAGATAAAGCAATGACTGGAGATCCTCATTTCCCCTATTGCCTCAAGAATCATTCAGGGAAGAAATTCATACCTTATGGGAGTGGACACTATTAGCCTACCTCATAAGGTCACGTTGGATTCCGACGAGGACACTAGTTAAAGAAATCATTCACCAGACTTACCTTCCTGATGGCTTGGTGTCCTATGGACGCTTGGAATGAATTCCAAGAGATCTGCAACTGTAAAAGGGAAGAAAAGATAGTGTTGATCATTGTCTACTGCCTCATCACACAAAGTCTAGTCAAGAAAAGGTGAAAGCCTACCCTTGGTAACAACTTTATCAAAATAGAGGGCAAGAGGAGCGGTGGCCGAGACCCATTCGTCAGTTCGACCGTCTGGGGTGAGGGTCCGCGCTATGCACTGGTAGAGGCCCAGATCCGACTTCTGTACCGATTCAATGGTCAGCACTTCAGCTACAACGAGATGGGTTCGCAAGGTTAGGCCGAAACATTAATCGCCAATCCGAGGTGGCCTTGGAGAAGTTTAAGCGATGTGGCAATGGAACCTCCACTAATGGCTTGGAAAGCATTATGACCATGAAACTCATGACCGTATGACCAATGACTAGCCACTGCCTTTGAATGACATCGACTGGCCAATCATGATACGAGGATGCAATAAGTGAAACATGGAATGAACGTGCTACTAACTGCCATAATAAGTAAGCGCAACTTACGGTTGGGTGTGTAGATTAGGTTTCCATTGAAGAGCCAGAACGGTTTCACGCTCTTATCAGAGGTAGAACAGCGGAACTCAGCTCGTTTGTCGAATGAGGCGATACGAAGGTCGACTGGTGATGTGGTCAACCGAAGACGAGCTTAAGGAAAAGAGGGTGACAAGTGAAGCACATCACCCGTATCATTGTCATCGTCGTCGTCATGAAGAAACAATTTTAGTCCAAAATAATGGCACTCTTTCTTCTAGAGCCATGAAAAAGGTGAAACAGTGGATTGTATGACTTACGTTTCACTTTCAACGTAGCCGTAAGACTCAAATGTGTTGTGGCACAGAGGAAGACACCTCCATCCGACGGTTGAGCATTCACCAGATGAAGAAGACCTGTTCATGGTAAAGGCAAAAGATCTGCTGACACGGCTTGTACGGACAGAGATTGAAGTTGATAAAATACTGATGACAAGGGAGGACAATGTTCACAACTGCTTAAAATCGAACGTGGAATGACAACACAGGAATTGACACATATCGAGGCAGTTGATGGCGAACCAGCCAACCAGTCTGCCTTTCAGACTGAAAATTCCGATTACGCTCCTATGTTCCCTAGAGCCCCCCTTCTTACCACTACCCTTTGAGGAGATGAGCACCTCCACAACCCCATCAGTGTAAATACAATTAACTTAAGGAGAATGCCTTGAAGACTACAGAAGTGGTTAACACCAATGAAGACGTTCCCCTTCCAATTGTAGACGATGAGGGACGCCAGTTATAGCCGGGCTAAAACTCGACAACGTCACGAATTTGCAGTGCCTGGAACCGAGGCACCAGCAAAGCTCTCCAGTTCAAGTTACCACGTACCGAAGTTCGGATCCATATTGTATCGAGTGTTCTGTGTGTTGTGTGGATAGGTCCGTACCACAGGCGGTGGCGCGCCCTCCATGATACAGAAGAGGGTGACGTTGTCGCCTTCTCGCACCACAATCAGTCTGGACGCCGCCGCCGAACTGTTGTCTTGGGAGGCCAAGGGTAACAGCACACGCACCGACACTGGCTTGTCCGGAGCTGAAGGCCACAAAAGAAGACATGACATCCAGCTGAGAGGCAAAGCAACTGATGGAAATTGAAAAGCCAAAACAGGTACAACAATGAGTAGATAATTAAGCCTAGAAAGCTTTCAAGGAGGCCAAAATTGACTATCCATGTGGGTTGAGAAGTTAACAAAGAAAATAGATCTTTTTCAAGTTGCTGATCTACCTCGAACCTGGAGACGGACAATTTCAGGCGACCAAACAGTCCTTCCTGTAGCGGGATTTGTTAGCGTGCATCGATAGTCTCCCTCATCCGAAGTCTTGAAACTGTTGATGAGGAGGAGCACCCGATCCTCGTTTGGTCGATGCACTTGTTTGTACTTTTCTATAGAAGAGCAAAGAAAAAATACGAGGTTATCACAACTGTTAGTCGACAAGGGAATTCTCATGATGCCTTCAACGCAACCATTGGTCGGAGGTCAAGGAAAAATGATGACGACGGCTAATTGGACAACAGAGCAAGCGAACAGAACACATCACAAAAGTTCAAGTAGAAGCGGGAACAAGAAATCGCACTGGAGCAAGAAGGAGAAGAGATGCAAAAAAACAAC